GGGGATTTGGGGGGGCACCACGTGCTGTCCTCGCGTGACCCCCCGCGGTGCACACGTGCCAACCCCAGCGTGTCAGAAACCACATGCTTGCTGCACACGTGCAAGGAGGAGCAGGGGTGTCCAGGGACTGCAAGGATGTGTGGGGGGTGTCGGGGGACGTGCAAGGAAGGACATGCAGGCACATGCAGGGGCGTGCAAGGATGTGCAGGGACAGCCAGGGACATGCAGCGATGTGCAAGTGCGCGCAGGGATGCGATCCCAGGTCCTCCAGGCCCCCAGGCGCCCGGAAGGGGAAGCAGAAGCAGAAGATGGAAGTGTCAGGCCACGGCCGTGGACATGGACCCCGACCCCACGAGCCAGCGCCCGCCTGCCCTGCCCTGCCCTGCCCTGCCAGCGGGGCCGCCCGCACTGGTCCTGCCCAGGGCACGGAGCTGCAGGGTCTGGGCCCAGCGCCTGCCGCCTTCTCCCCAGCCCGGAGCCCCAAGGCCTTCGCACCTGGCCCAGGGCACGTGGCATGTCCACAACTGCCCCCTGGTCCCCAGGGAGGTTGCTTGCCCGATCCATGCCACGCCGGCAGCTCTGCCTCTTGGCCGGACCAATGGCCCTGCCTGCAGGCATCACAGACTGCGGCTCCTCTGTGCCTCAGTTTCCCCACTGGAGAAGGCTGGACCCAGTCTCTGGCCCAAAGCTGCGGTGGCACAAAGCCATGTGACTGTCCCGGGGGTGCAGAGGAGTCTGGCACCAGGAAAAAGCTCCCACCCGGCTGCCTATGACCTTCGGCTCGGAGAGCCCACACGGGCCTGGTTGCCTCGGGCTGGGCCGAGGGGACTCATCCCTGGGCCCGGGGCTCCCTCTGCCGCCCGCCTGCCCAACTGCAGGGCACAGCCACGTCAGGGAGGTGCAGAACAGGGCTGGCAGGGCTCGCCCAAAGCCACATCCCCTGCAAGGCTCTGGGCAGAGCCCCCACCCGACTCATCTCCCCTGCCCCACAATGCTTCTGGGTGGGGGGCACGGCTGATTTGCACCTCCCCAAAGCCCCCCCACCGCCTGCCACACTGTGGAGACATGGATCCAATGCCAAGCAGATACAGGCCAGGAGCCAAACCCAGATGCCCCCCACTAGCCCACAGGGCCGGGTCCAGCTGCGCTTGCCCGAGGGGGCCCAGCCCCCCAAAAGCATTCCCCCCTCTGCATGTGCCGGGGGCCGAGCAGCTGGTTCTCATTTTTAGCAAGGAATGAGCTGCCGGCCCATGAGCTGCGGCATGGTCTCAGCACAACGAGCTCCAGCGCCGGAGCTCGGGGACAGCTGGCCGGCAGCTGAGCACGTTCTGCAACCGCCAAGGCCGCAGAAGCATCCTCCAGCTGAGGATGCCAAGCTCCCTCCTCCGTTCTCGGAGTTTGCACCTCCGCCCCTCCCGGCTCTGGCGGGAAGTGCCTGTCCCCCAGGCGCAGCCAAAACTGCAGCAATTAAAGCAAACCAGACCTCGCCCTGCCCTGGCTGCAGGGGGAGACCAGCCAGGCTGGGGTCAGAGCAGAGCGGACCAAAAGCTGCACGTGGCAATGCAGCTGGGCCCTGCAGCAGGGAGGCACCAAGTGCCCACTGGGGCTACACAGCCGGCTGACACTCAGGGCCAACAGCACTTTTCAACACAGGAGCTTGCAGCACTTTTCAAAGAGGGTAATGTAAGGCTCATCCGTGCGCCACCTCGTAGCGTGGCAAGGGGTTGACCCGATAGGGACGGACCAGCTCAATGTGCCAGTGTGGACATTCCCAAAAGACCCATTAGGCTAAAGGAGATCGTTCTGCTGCAACCACTCTGCGCGTAGTGATAACCTTAGCGAGTGCAGAGCAGGCCTACAGCTAACGGACGGCTCCACGTGGGTACGAGTTGGTGCCCTGCCACCGTATTCCCGCACAGACGGGGCCCTGGGGTGTCTCTGCTCCCCCAATGCACGACCAGTCCTCATGCCTGCTGTTACCAGCTGCACAGCTGACGAGCAGATTGAGAGCTGATCTTCCTGTTCGGAGATGAGTCCTGAACAGGATGCAACGCCCGCTCGGGGCGCAGCAGGGATCTCATCTTTGCTGATTTTTAAACCTCAAAAATAAGAGCCGAGGGGGCCAGACCATTTTAAAGATCGTTTAAGGGTTTGGGCCAGAAATTGCAACCAAAACAGTGAGTCACAATTACAGGAGCACGAAGGAATTTGTGTGGCTGGGAGGACTAAGAGGCCAAGTCAGGACTCCTGGGTCCCACATCTGCTTTTTCATCCATGCTGTTCATTCAGGGCAGCAACCAGCTCTGTCCAGGCAGGGGCAGCAGAAGCCCTCCTCCAAGCTCACAGAGGAATGAAGACATAGGGACCGTGTGTGAAGGATTTACAGGTTTTTGCTCCTGACGCACCTAAAAAGAGCAGAGTATTGCAGGGAGAGAGAGAGCCCCCAAGAAGCTGAAGACACCAAAACTTCATCCTCCTGCTGTGGCTCAAGCATACTCCAGCAAGCTTGTTCAAAGCCACGGCAAGTCAAAGCAGCACTCGTGGAGCGTACAGGGCACGACCTCTTCTCCTACGTGCCGACAGGATCGGGGATTCTGCCCAAGGTTTACTTAAGAGTCAGTTGTCAAAAGTTAGTTTGCAACAGTCTCGCTGGCGTTGCTCAGCCCTTGCACACCCCTGGGACAAGGCAGCCTTCAAGCTACTGGGTTTGGCTTTCACAAAGGTCAGGCTGTACCAGAGACCAGAGCTGCAATGGCCCTCACCCAGTCCCAGTTTGCCCCCAGGGACATAATTTAGCTAGATGATACACCTCTGATGCCCGGCCCCCTGCACAAGTGCACACGCAAAGGGGCCAGGTACTGCTCTTTAAATAGCAAGACCATGCCCCTCTCGGGTTCTCTCCTTTCTGGCATGGCAGGGTAGTGAGCGGTGCTCACGACAGCAAAGCAATTGAAGCTTAAAAACCAGGGCAGGGAGGACAGCCCAGACGACTTCCCCCAGACCCTGCTCCAAGCCAGGCACTAATTGTATTAGCCTGACCCAGAGCAGCTGAGCACACCATGGTGCAAGGAGGATTTCCCCCTTGATCCGTTCACAGCGTGCTCCATTTCAGACAGCGTTGAGCAACACCAGCTCCTCTTCCAGCAAATATGTTTCCTACCCAAGTGCAGGGGGGCTGGACCCGACGATCTGTAATGTTGCTTCCAGCCCCTAACAACCATGAAATAGGATGCTACAGGGATGCTAGAGCTCGTGGGGGCAGGGAACATCCTCCTCCTAGGCTGGCTTTTCAGTAACATCCCATCCATCAGCCTCATCCCCACCAGCAGAAATCCTCTTAATGAGGTACTATTGTTAACTTAACTTATTTAGTCTTTACGGCTCTTTGGGCCAGAGGTAGATGCTGTTAATGAGCAGCCTGGCTGGCCCTAGGGACCAGGCCCCAGCCCCCCTCCATGCAGAGCCAGTAAGGGAAGGCATCTCTTCACCAAGGGGAAGATGGCACTTGCACTGGGTCAGGTCAATGTGTTAGGTTCCCAGCAGTGCCAGGCACCCAGGGTACCAGTCCCCACACAGCTGGCCAGGGCTCTGCCCTGCTCAGCCTCCCCTGGAGCACAGCTTGCTCTTGCAGTGCATTTCTACCATGGTACAGCTCAGTGGCAGTGCCAGGAGCCCCTGGCTACGTAGAGGCTGCAGCTGCCTTTAAAGTCAGCAGAACTGGATTCATGTTCTAAGTAGGAAGGTCATAGGTTCAATCCTTGCTGCTAACAACCCCCCTCCTACAAACACATTTAGTCTTCCCATGTGGAGCAAGAGGGCCAGACCCAGGTCTTGGTCAGAGGTAGGCCAAGCAAGGGTCATCTTCGTCCAGCTCCCCAAGGCCAGGGTACAGTCCTTAGGAACAGCACATGTTCAAAGTCCTTGCCCAATGGGTAATGGCTGTCCCAACATGCTGAAACTTCCCCATGCTCCCTGGAAGGCGGGGGTCGAGAGCAGAAACCTCTCTTTTCTCCCACTAGGACACTTGGCTCCAAGGTCTGTCTTGGGACCCCTAAGTGACTCCTCCCTTTCCCCACTTGGGGCCCGCAGGTTGTTGCCGTGTAAGCCATGAGTCCAACAGGTCACGTGAATAAAACCAACTTTTAATAATGTACAGCAGAAATTGGACAGCCTCATTCTTATATTAAAACAAAAGATTTCCTATATTACATAGTATTTACATTTGCATACTGAAGAGGTAAAGTGTCTAAGTGGCTATTTTACAGTCCTTTTCTAATCAAATGTACAAACCCAAACAAAGAAAAGGGCAGGTAAGTACCAAGAAAGATCTGTTCTGAAGCCAGAGGTCCATCCCTTACCTGGCACCAGGCTAGAAGCCTCTGCCTCCTTGGCTCTGACTCTCTCCTGTTGGCAGAGGTCTAAAATCCCCTTAATTAAGCAAATTATTCCTCCTCTCCTCCCTGCCCCACGCTGTGGTGGCTGCAAGCTGTTACAGCAGTTGCAGAGCTCCCCGCAGTTCAGCTCAGGGCAGCGTGGCTCCTAGGTTTGCTACTGGTCAGCTAAGTAACTCTTGCAGGCCACCCCAGAGCGCGTGCGCAAAAGTGCTGCAGAAATGCTACATTGGTGTGGCACCAGTCGCAGAGGTCCGGCTGGGGTCGACCCCTTTGCACGGCTCCAGAACCCGTGGACTGAGCTGTCTTGAAAACCCCCGTCACAAGGGCATCCCACCCATTTCCCCACCTTCGGGGACAATACAGCTAGACAATCTGCTGCTTGGTGTCATAGAGGCAGGTGCATGTGTGGCTACAGTTGGTGGGGTGGGAGGGCAAATCAATGCAAGGAGTTAAAATAGCTGAAGTGGGGTCATCAAGGAGGAGTCTTTGGACAGCGAACAGGAGGCTTTGTGCTCTGGAGGGAGGATACAATGCTCACAGAAGGACATGGCAAACCGTACCTGCTGGCGTGATGGGCCTGGCCACGGCTACAACTCCCTCCCCAGCCCGACCAGCCCTGCTCCTGGCAGCTGAGGAATCGTGTCGGCCTGGTCTCAGGCGCCCACCACCGGGTTTCTAAGTGTAGAAGGGATCAGCCAGTGCAGTGTCGCTGTAGAGACAGGGTAACCTCTGGCTGAGAAACATCAGAACAAATCAGAAGGGGAAGGAAAGCTGTACATTCACAAATCACGTACTCCACTGCTCCACGAACCAATGGCCTGCAGCCTCCCAGGCAGGGGAACAGCTCCGCGCTGCCTGTCATCTTCAAACAACGGGAGGATGCAAAATGGCTCCAAACACAAGGCAAGAGATTCCTCACTGTACACAGATACCATCATCACAGACATGATACGGGGCTCAGGGACAGACAGACATGGATACACAGACAGCAAGAACAGAGTGTTTTAGAAAAAGTCACCCCGGCAGCTGGAGCAGAGATGAAGCCTCACCTTTCAGAGCAGGCCCCAGGTTCGAGTAGAAACAGTTCCAGTGTAAGTCGAGCAGTGTGCATTTGGTTTTTTTTTCTTTTTTGCAGTGATTTCATTACAAACGAACAGGTTGAGAGGTAATCATTAGAGATTGTTTGTTGGTTTTTTTTTTTTTCTTCTTCTCTTACAAAGAATTAACAATATTAAAAAAAGTTAAAATCCAGACCCTCCCGGAAAATAAAAAAAACTAATCAAACCCACTCCAGTTAAAAGTTATGGCTTCAGAGTTCTCCACCACAGGTACGGACCCAGCCAAAAGCCCAGCTTCCCGGAACGGCCCTCGCTACTGCCATTCCCTGCACTCGGCTTCCCTTGGCTCCCACATTTGCTAGGCCCCCACGTGGCTGCAACAGTCAGATCAGTTCTGCTTCACCCAGATTGGTTATTCAGTTGCAATCAGATTCATGCAGTGACCCCCCCCTGCCCCCGCTCCCACCCCAAGTTATACACAGCTGCTTCCAGAACACGAGATATTTACACAGGTATATTAAAAAGATGGACGCGCACTTCCAATCCTGACTCCCCTGCCACTAGATCCGGCCGGATGCCTCGAGGGGTACTGGGCAGTACCCACTTCCACGGGCACTCGGCTTTCTGCGGGTCAGGCCGTACATGCCTAGTGGCAGGTTTTGTAGTGTTCCTACCAGAGCCCTTTCAAAACATCTAAGGGCTACACTCCCAAAGGCGGATGCCCTGCATGCCTGCCTGCCCAGGACCCTCCAGCCAGGCACAGCACCAGCTCAAACTTCAGGCACCTCTCAGCTCTGCCATATCCCTCCTCACCAGGCAGTCCTTCCAAGCTGCAAGCACTGCAAACCCAGAGGGTCTGCTCAAAATCCTGAACTCCAGGTTGAAGTCAGTTCCTCATTTTAGGGAGGGGAGGGGGTGGCAGTGAAGTACACCTGATGGAAGTTCCTGCAGCTAGTGCCAGGACATGTCCCCCACGTGGGAGGACAAAGGGTCTGGTTGAAAGCAGCCTATTCAAGCTAGAGGATGCTTGCTGCTGGACAAGAGGAGGGCACCAGCACGCACAGTGCAGAAGGGGACACTTGAGATTGCACATGCACAGAAAGCACAGATGGAGATGCGCACCCCTGCAAGTGCATCCTGCTCGCCTGTGGAGGGGGGCAGCATGCGCCTCACGCACACATGCACTGCTGCACATACCAGTGGCCGGCCTGACCTCTTTGAACTGTAGGATATTTCAAGCTTAAAAAAAAAAAAAACAAAACAAAACAAAACGTATAGAAATAAAACCAGAAGGGAAATGGTTTCACAAAGCTGATAGAACTGCTCAGGCTCAGCTCTTGGAAGGGAGCACCATGTTTTTTCAAATATGAGGGAGAACATGTGGGGGGGAGGGGGTGTAAAAGTGCACACGCCACCCCCAGAAAAACAAACCCCAGGGTACAGCAAGAAAGCCTCCCCTTTTCCCACCCGCTCCCAGCACCCAGCCCCTTTCCTATGAGAACCACACACTGGACTTTACAGGGATTTCCATCAAAGAAAAAAGAAAAAAAGTTACACTCATGGCTGAGACCCCCTCCGAGGAGTCCCTCCCGTCTTCATGCTGTCAGGAGGTGATCGCAAAAGGTTTCTGTTCGTTTCATACCCAACTAGGGAGGAAGCGTTTTTCACAGGCTCGCCCCCCTGCCTGCCTAGTAGCCCACAGGTCACGCTGTCTGGTGATCGCAGCACGGTTGGGTAGAAACGCGAGGTAGGCCTCCATCGCATGCTCTAGCATGGCAGCTGCTGTGCAGTTCCCTCAGCTAGATTTTCACATCTTCCTGGACGCTGAGCTGCGACAGCGTTTTCTTGATGCGCAAGGCAGTGAGTCGAGCGGCACCATTGGCGTACCAGCACTCCCGCATCATCTTGCCCATCACTCGCAGCGCCTAGCCGGGACAGCAAGACAGGCGTTAAGCTTCTCCTCCCAAAGCCTTCAGCTCTTCTGCCAGTGCAGGACCAGCACCTGCCTGAAGCCAACTCAGCGCCTGAGGAAGGCACTGGTGTGATCACACCACGAGTGGACTGTCCGCTTATCTATGGGAGTTGGCAGTTCGGGCTCCCACCCCCCACCCCTGGCCTTTACCAACTGACTGGGAGGGAAGACAAGAGCTCAGTCTCTCCCCAGCCACATGATTCTTGATTAGCCACAGTGCTGATAGCTGCAAGGCAGGGACCTGGGCTCAGGCCTGGCTGTTTTGCCCCACCTAGTGACAACAGGTGTGCAGAGCATTCATGTTTGCATGGCTCGGACAAGGCCAAGTGCCAAGAGGAGTGGTTACAAGGTACAGAAGTTCACTTCCTGCTAAGGTGGAGGTGCCAGTGGTGGGTGGAGCCCCACCTCGCAGCCTGCTGTGCTCTCAACAGACCTGCTCTCCAGGCCATGCAGACTTGGCAACTGCTTCACTCTCCACATTGTCTCCCATGTGCTTTCCTAGATTCCCACCATGGGGTCAAAACCATGCTGAAGGTACAGCCAGTCCTGGCTGGAGCAGGAAAGTCCCACTCCCAAGGTTATTGCTTCCAGGACTGTCTGGGCTCCCTCTACCCAGTAGATGGTGCAATTTCCCTTCAGCTCGAAAAAGATGACAACAGACTACCTCATAGCTCTGCCACCAGTTAGGAATGTTGGGCCGCAGCTTCTGGTCGCATACAACTTTCCGCATCTCCTCAATGGACGGGTCAGAGGGCACAAGGTCGTAGTACGGAAGCTGATATTCTTCATGGATACCTGAAAGCAGGGAGCGGGGTGTGATTTCTGGAGAGGCCTGACCCACACGATGCAACAATGCTATGCAACTGTTTGGGACAGGAGCGAAGAATCTGCAACATCAGTTGTGGGAGGAGTCCAGAGAAGCAGCACGGTGCTGCTCCAACTCAATTTTAGCCAGGACGTGGGGATTAGACACTGCCCCTCTTGGAAAACAGGCCACAGACTCTCGAGTTACATGAGCTGTTAGGATCGTGCTGTACAAGAGGAAAATCCCTGTAACTGTACCCCTGCCCCTACCCAGCACCACAGGCCAGGACACTGGCTCAGTACTGATTCATAGGAAAGAAAACTACCTACTGAATCAGCAGCACCACTTCCTCCTCCAAGTCTGTCCAAAGGAAGGAACAGATTTGCCAGCAACAGCCGATTACCCTCAACCGCTCACGTGCCTGGATCGAGTCACTTCCCCACTGCTTCCTCCCTTGGAGATGTACACATGGACACCCCCCTCCCCCTCCCCCCCCCCGTGCTCTCAACCACAGGGGACCTGGCAAGCACTGGAGGAGCCAGCAGCCTGGGCTCCCAACATGAGCTTGGCTGTTGGCATAAAGCCAGAGGGCTAACCGAAAGCATATTACCTCCTGCATTGCACCTACGAGCAATCTCCCAATAGACTAAGCCCAGGGCATAGATATCGGCACACTTGAAAGAATCAAAATGCTTCATGTTGATGGTTTCATCCAGCACCTCGGGGGCCATGTATCTGTGGGAGAGAAAAAGCAGTTAAGTCATTTCCTGGTCAGAAACCCCGTGAAGATTACGTGGTATTTTCTGCCAGATACGAAGCTTGGGTGCTGCACCCGAGTCAGTCAACCCTTGGGGCTGGGGGGTAGTCAGGGAGGCAGAATCAGAGACTAGCTCCCTGCAAAGACCAGCTGGGCTCAGCTTCAGCGAGACTCTGGGAATCCAACACCTAGGACAAGCCCCACCGGCCCAGGGAGGCTCCCACGGTGACTGCACCCACATTCCCGTCAGAGCGGCTGTTCTCTTTACCGCTTTGTTCCAACCCTCTGGTTGGGTGCAATGTCAATAGTATCAGTGACCGAATCATGGCGGACAGCCAGCCCCAGGTCAGCAATGGCACAGGTGCCGTTCTTCTTCACCAGGATGTTTTTGGATTTCAAGTCTCGGTGGGCAATCCCTGGCTTTCCTGCAAGAGTAAAATCAAGTCTCAGTGAGGGTGGCACTTGCCCTTCTCACATGGCAGCAGATTTGCCAGGCAGAAAAACAGAAGTACCAAGAGTTCCTATAATTCACAGTCTTAATCAGATACTTTGTGTCTCTACACACATACTGTTCTACAGCTCCATCTCCCCTCCTGTCCCTTGTTTAACACACAACAGCTCTGAAGAAGGCATCAAGTGACTGCCTGAATGACCAGTGCCTCTATTCATAATCAGAGGAGGGAGTTATTCCAATCAGCTCAGCTCACAAGACACTTGACAGGGCAGCACCTCTCCAGTGCCATGTGTCACTGCTCTAAGAGCTCAAAGTCACTGTTCTAGCTCAGGCCACTACAGGACTATTCCTGCTCCCCAGTCATGGCCAGCACCCCACTAGGTGTGCATGCACAACATGGGCACAGACTGCTAGGGGCTGGACTGCAGGGACCTCCTCTTGGAAATGGTGGCCAGCCAAACAGTAGTAACATGTGGGCAGTACCAACCTTGCCTGAATTCAGCCCATGAAACTCCATCCTAAAGACAGAAATCCTGCTGTTCTCAGGGACAAGTTCCCTGCTTGTTCTTTGCTTTATCCTGGTCTAAGGAACATGTGCCAGTCCTTTGCTAGTGCCTCTTACCTTGGGTCCCCACGATCTCCATGTGCAGATGGGCCAAGCCGCTGGCCGCAGACAGGGCCAGCTTAATCATCCCCTCAATGGTCACAGTGTATCGGTTGAGGTAATCGAACAGGGAGCCATGCTCGTGGTAATCGGAGACGAGCCACAGCTGTGTCCAGGTCCCATTATCTGGTCCAAGGGAAAAAAAAGTCATTGGATGGCAAGATGCACGCTGTCCTGGTTCTGGGGGGTGGGGAGGGAGTGCTGCTACAGCGTAAGTGATGCTGGATTGGACTGCTGGTCAGTGGGCGAGACATGAAAGATGAGCTGCACCTTGTTACTCACAGTCCCTCATTTTGCAAGCAATTAGCAGCCCCACCCACCATTTCAGCAGTTCAGGCCTTTAAATGCTGCAACAGTCTTTGCCAATGGCCCCACGTTACAAACCCTTCTCTGCAAAATGCCAAGATACTGAAAGATTAAACCCAAACGTCTGGGCAAAGGAAGTGCCACTAAACACTGAAATACATCAGGCTGGAGCCCAGACTTCACTTATCCAGTTAGTGTTATTTCATTTAGTAAATTCTCCTATTTACTGGAAAAGACCTTGACCATCAGAACTACTGGCTGGATAGAAACTGCTACCAGACTTGCCTTAGGAGTGGAAGTTTTCTGCCTCTCTCTGAAAGAAACTTCCTTTGTCACAGGCTGTCACACTGATCACTTGCTGTTTTAATTTTTATTAATAAAGATTGATGACATCTTCCATTACTTTAAAGGAGAGATCATAATACCTTAAAAATGCACCCTGGTGGTGTTTTTTCACTATTTCATTTCCAAGTCCAGACAGGAACAGATGCGAACTGGATGCTAGAGTAAAGAATACTAAGGAATCCAATGCCACCAGTGAAAGCTGAGACAGCATTTTACCTTTGTTATCTGCAGCAATAAATCCCAGAATGTTCTCATGTCGCAACATGACCGTCTGGTATATTTCTGCCTCCCTAAACCAGGAGCGCTCCTCCCGTGAAGAAAAGATTTTCACAGCCACATCACCACCACGCCACCTGCCTCGCCACACTTCCCCAAAGCGGCCTTTGCCAATGATCTCCTGCAGGACAATCGTTCGAGCTACAGTCCGCTGCACAAAGAGGGGCAAACCTGCAGGCAAGAGATTTGAAGAATTCAAATGACAGGCACTTGAGGATGTACTGAAGCAGCAAGTTTAAAATGGAGCACACCCAGCAGGATTTCTCTGTATGATCGTATTGGGCTCAGACAAGACCCATGTAGTTATTAAGTCAACCCTATGCCTGCCACAGGCATTCCTACTATCTCCATCCTTCTGGTACCCAGCCATCACTTCACAGCCTGCCAGGGATAAAAGGACTCTGTCCAGCCCTCATAAGCTCCCAGGACAAGCAAACCATATCTTTTTGTAGGCACCAATTTGGGAATAGTGATCAGAAAGCATCAAGGGGCTTTACCTTATCCTCACCCTCTGCCCCAAAATAAGTGTTAATTTTCCTTTTCTCCTTGAATTGCTGCCATTGCCGACTGAACGTCTAAGGCTACATGCAAGAAGTGGAGCTGGTCTTGACAGGACTGCTCAAATCAGTGACACCCCAGTGTCTGTTAAGGAACTATAAGTCTGCTGTGGCTACCATCTTGCTGATGTGACCCCAAATTAGAATACTAAGTACGCATTAAAGATCCCGTTATGCTTGGCGCTGCAAAGGGCCTGAAAACATTTGTCCTGGCAAAAGGCCTTCATTTTGCTTTCATCAGTTAGCCCTGTACAGTCATTAGGTGACAGAAGCTGCTTCTCGTCACCACCTCTTGGGCCGTCCTGTAGTATTAGACTACACAGAGTAGCTTCATTTAAGCACCAAGGAGGTGAACACACAGAGTTTATGTACGCATACAAGACTGTCTAGCCTTACGGGATGCTTTCAAAGGTGCCACATGAATGTTTACCCATCACCAAGGTACCCGAGCAACAGGACTGGGCCACTGGCTTCATTGCCTCACAGCTGGTTTACAATAAGGCTACACAGTGCCCTATTACAAGGCAGACCCCAGGTAAGCCCGGATAGGCTGTGGCCCATTCTCAGTTGGTTAGAACCCATGGCACCAAGCACTCGGGAACACAGGTCTTCTATTACATGGCATATTGTTTGTCCCTTCCTTCCCCAGCCAGTACCTGAGCCAGAGCCAGAGGTGGAAAGATCATAGACCAGATCTGGCAGGGTCTTATCCTTGGACAGACACATTTCGCAAGAGGGATCTTCCATGTCCAACCGCTGCCGATTGTGATAGACTCGCTGGTGATGGTGAAAGACAAACACCACCACAATTATGATGACAAATACGAGGAAGACTGGTCCTGCAATCACTGCCACCAGCTCCACAGGGCCCCAGCTGGACTGGGGTTCAGTTTCTTTCAGGTGCCCTTGAAAAGGGAAGAGAAACATTTCAGGTGAAACCTAACTCCATCCTAGGCCCTCCAAACCACCAGGGAAAGCCCCCAGCTCCTCTCTGAGCCCAGGCTACATTAGCTCTAGATATGTCCCAGGGTTGTACAAAGGGCAAACAGCAGTGTTAGCATGCCACCCGCTGCAAAGTTGTGGGGCAGCAGACAGGCCAGGTGGACAACTGATCAGAAAGGGCTTTGTCAGCAGTGGAACTGCGAGCAGGAGCTGATGCCCCCACATCAGCCCTCAACTAGGATTTTGCACCCCGTTTTCAGGTCTTGACAGGGGTCACCCGCCCCCTCCCAATCTATTTTGCCTGCAGGGCACTGTCCATGTGAAACGCAACCCCCAGCAACTACCCAGGCGATCTCAGCTCTGATTAGCTGCAGTTGGTGCTTCTCACTTGCCCCAAGAAGCTCAGTACTGGACTGACCCAGGTTCCTGCCAGAGGCTACTCCCTTCAAAATGGGTCAACTCCTCCCAAGGAGCCAGAGGGCTAAGAGGGCAATAAAAGCAGTCTCTCATATCTTCCCACATCACTTTCAGCTTCCCTTCTCCATGCAGCAGAGCTAAACCACCAGGCTGGCTACCATCAAAATCAACTTGAATTAAAAGTGTTGCCAGAGGATGGAATTATGCCCTATGCATAGACCCCAACATGTTTTCAGCTCCAAGCCTTCACCCACTGATGGTTAATAGCAGGGGAATCTTACTTGCTCTTCCTTGATGGATGTTGGTACCAAACTGAAGGTTTTTGAGTTCTGCCCCCCCCTCACCCCCTTTTGCTCTGAAGCCTTAAATTAGTGCCATAAGCTTGTGCTCAAAGCTTACTGATTAAAGAGGAATTTCAATCCTGCAGGAAGAAAAGCAATTCCATCATACAAAAAGCAGGCCACTGCAGAACTCTGCTCTAAGACCAAGTCCTCAAGGCTGCAGGGCCCTTTTCAGCAGTGGTGAACCCACCCCAACATGGAAGTGCAGAAAAAGCACAGCAGTCACTTAAATGACTCTGGGAACAGGGTGGGGGGCAAGGTTAACGAGGTGAGGCATGTTGTCACACCTAACACCTGGAGCATCAAAGACAGCAAGCTAGAAGAGAACACAGACTGTAAACCTTCTTCCTACCCTAATACAGGGCACCAGTGGGTAATACTCTGTTTACCCTCATGGAAAGCAGAGAGTGACTATTCTCATTTTGCCAATGAGAAAGTGGAGACAGGACACATCCCTGCCTCCCATTCACACAGCAAGCTAGTGGAAGTGATGAAAACTGGACCCGAGAGTCCTAGTTCCCAACCCCTGCTCTAAGTACTCACAAGACCCCCAAATGGGATGGCAGGACATTTCCATACTCACCGCTGGGCACCATTAAGTCCACCTTGTTGCAGAAATCTGAGATGCAGCAGTGCGTGTTTCGCACATCTTCTGAACTCAGGCAGTGGAAGGGCTTTCCAGCAGGAACCAACTCTGCTTTGGGGATACAGGCGCGAATGTGATACTTAACCCCATCCAGATTGGAGATGGAGACCATGCAGACACCATCGGTTTCACACGTGGAGTTTGCTTGGTTGCAGTTGGAGCACAAACAAGTCAAAGCTACAGAAAAAAAAAAAATCATATGAGAAAACCTCCTTGAAGCCTGTAGTAGGGAAATCGCCTCCCCACTCAGCATAGGATACAAGTCGCCCTATGAGTAAGCCAGCTTTAATGGACCAGTAATGTCAGATGCAACATTTCATGACAAAGCGAGGAGTCACATGGACATACTTAGTGCAGTTTCACAGCTCTGCCATCCCTCTCTGCCCTACCAACCTGATCTACGCTGAAGACAGGCAAGATGACAGCATGCACTCGCAGCTAGAAGACACCTTCTGCTGAATAATGCTGGAGTCTGCCACTGAATTCAGCTAGTCAGGCTCCCAACCCTAGGAAACCATGAATGTTAAGAAAACAAACACAATATGAGGAAAGGGTCATTCCTATGCAAGGACATAAGTGATTCTAGTCCTGACAAGTGCATTTATAATGGCTTGCTCCTGCAAGCTCTCTTCAGGGAGCATCTAACCATAAGCCATTCTCTCCCCAGCAACCTGGGTTCAGAAGCAGCTTTTATAACTAAGTTTACCACTCATGTAGAGGGCTCAATTGACAGCACAGGATGATCTCCAAAATACATTCCCTACCAATCTGGGACTTGGCGAAGGAGGAAAGAGGGAAGAGCCAAGTAGCCCTTTTACTCTGTGTACCCTCTATCACAATTACAAGCTAGTCACACCCGTCCACAAGGAATTAGAGACCAGGGGCCTCCTTTCACATAAGCCACGGAACAGGTGGCTGATGTTGGCTGATGTTGGCTCTAGTTGCGTTGTTCCCCAACACAACTAGATTCAAGACCAACACCTCAGTGCCCGTCAGCCTTAAAGTACTGCATCTAGGGAAAAGGAACCAGCAACACACCTACAGGCTGGGAACACCCTTCTTGTCAACACAGTGGCAGAAAGGGATCTTGGAGTCATTGTTGACTCCAGGATGGACATGAGCCGGCAATGCGGAGAAGTGGTCAGGAAGGCTAACCGCACCTTGTCGTGCATCTACAGATGCATCGCAAGCAGGTCCAGGGAGGTAATCCTCCCCCTCTATGTGGCATTGGTCAGGCCACAGTTGGAGTACTGCGTCCAGTTCTGGGCGCCGCACTTCAAGAGGGATGTGGCTAGCACTGAGAGGGTCCAAAGGAGGGCCACTTGCATGGTCAAGGGGCAGCAGGGCAGGCCCTACGAAGACAGGTTGGACAAGTGGGCAGAAAACAACAGAATGCAGTTCAACAAGGAGAAATGCAAAGTGCTGCACCTAGGGAGGAAAAATGTCCAGCACACCTACAGCCTAGGGAATGACCTGCTGGGTGGCACAGAAGTGGAAAGGGATCTTGGAGTCCTAGTGGACTCCAAGATGAACATGAGTCGGCAGTGTGACGAAGCCATCAAAAAAGCCAATGGCACTTTATCGTGCATCAGCAGATGCATGACGAATAGGTCCAAGGAGGTGATACTTCCCCTCTATCGGGCGCTGGTCAGACCGCAGTTGGAGTACTGTGTGCAATTCTGGGCGCCGCACTTCAAGAGGGATGCAGATAACCTGGAGAGGGT